AGGGAATGAAGAAACAAAGTTGCTCAATTTAGGACACCCTGGAAGCAAAGAACAGAGAAAGCTAAACTTTGTTTCCATTTTTTTCTATTCCTTTTTTACTTGTCCTTTCTCCCCACACACATACCTTGTATAACAGATAGTGAGAAATGGAAAGAAATAGACTTTTAAAAGCATGTTTCCCCTTGCTCTCTTCACATTCTTACCATCCACTTACTTCTCAATCCTTCTTTATTGGCTTTGTGTCTGTGCAATTCTACTAAAATTGCCCACTTTTCAGGCTCTAAAGATCCTCTGATAATCAAACAAAATATCATTTCAGGAATATCATAATAAAAAGTAAGACAGATCTTCCTTTAATTCTTTCCTCTTCCTAGCCTGTCTCTTTGAGCTCGCCCCACATATGTTTTTAACAGTTACACACTTTCTGTACTGGACACTGTGTCCTCAATCTCCTTTGATTCAGCTTACCCAGTGTTATAAATTTCCTAACAAGTGCATAGTCAGCTTTTCCCCAGTTCAAAGTCTAACAAGGGATTCTGTGCTGTCATAAAGATAGTGACAATATTTTCATGATGTTGGCATACTGGATTCTGCTGGATACAATGTCTTCCTTTATTTTCAACCTGATACTTCCCCACCTACATATGCTAATCATGTTCATGCAGTCAACTCTGGTTTGGCGCACTTGATCTTTGAATGTAGGGCCTTCCCTGTCTGGAATATCTTCCCTATGACTTTGTTGGCTTAGTCAGTGAAGAACAGTTTTTATTAATTAATTTATACCATTCTTCAGATTACCTATATATTCATTTGGATATCTCAGATTACCTATATATTCATTTAGATATCTCTTTAGGTCTTTTTTTTTTTTTTTTGGTTAAGTATTTCAGAAGTTCTGAAAATAAAGAGAGTAATGGAATTTCTTCATAACCACCTGTCTTGGTAACTTTTCTCTCAATGCTGAGACAAAATACCTGACACCCAAGTTAAGGAAGGAAAGGTTTATTTAGCTCACAGTTTGTGGAGATTTCTCAGCTGGCTCCAAGGTAGAGTGGCACACAGCGGAGGGCAACTGTTCATGGTGTCAGAAGACAGCAAAGGCAACAAAAGCAACAAAAGCAAAGGGAGGAGTGGCAGCTGGAAGAGCAAGCCTCTTTCCTTCCCTTACACTGTATGCAAACCACCCGCCCCAGGGTGGTTTGCATCCAAAATTCCAACGCTGGACCATAGATCAGTCATAAATCTAGAAGCCTGTCCCATGACTGCATGAGGCTTTAGGGCGACATTCAGACACAAACCATAGCACCACCTTCTCCAAACCTTATGATTTTTCCTAAGTTGATTAGGAACAATTTTAAAGAAGGAGAGTATGAGAACTGCCTCATACTCCTTTCTATTACGTGTGGTTATTTCCCTTGCCTGCTTTCTCTCCACTTGTAAGCAACATTTAGATTAATGATAACTCTGAAGTACTGCACTTCCCTATGTATTTGTCACATGTATTCCCTTATTCTCCTAAAGTACCAGTTGGGTTAGCAGATTCATAGTGTTTTGCTTTTGAAGATATTTATACAGAAAATATTCTTAGTTTTGCCTATTAAAACATTGGTCTATTTGGGGATAACCCAGGGTTGTTGTTTAACTAAGAGCTGTTTACTGTTCAGAATGCAATTTTGATTTCCCCTGCATCAATTCTTTCCTCAACTCCAGTTTTCTTTGTTCAGTTTTGTTACTTCAATAGGATCCTATGACCTAAAGTTTCAATTTGCCTTTGTTAATGGAAAATTTAGGGCTCTGCTCTCACAAATGACAAGTGCCTTTAACTTATGAATGATGACAGTTATGCATGGTCATTTTTAATCTTGATAAATATTTCAGGAAAAGATAGATTACACAAGAACTGCTACACAGGAGCTCTACATAAGAACTGTAATAATAGATGATTTATTTATTCAAATACATAACACCTAATGCATGACAGACTATATATTATGCACTTGTAACAATGAACAGAAATGACATAGCCTCTCTCCTTTAAGTCGATTGAATTGTGTTTGGGAAGATAAGCCAACACAAAACAAAACCAAGTAAAAATAAATTAATACATGAAAATGATGGCAGTAGGCTGAGATTCTAAAAATCTTTGTAGAATAAACTGTCATAGATGAAATGATAGAAAAGCACTTATACTAGAGAAGGGGAAGAGTACGCCCCTGCCTTGAGGAGAGAACATTTCAGTTGAGACTTAAAGGTGGAGAAACAACCGTGATTGGCAGAGGGAGGCTAAGAGCTCATGGGAAAGTTCTGAGTCATGGCAGCACCTGGTGCATCCAGTAAACGTGAATAGGGTTTGAGGAGGTGACTAATGATTTCTAAAATGCACAGACTGAAGTTGCCACAAATTACAGGGTCCTTTCTTTACTCTGTGTGTGGATAATATATAGGATGAATCAGAATATTTTATCGTGCATTCAGAGCACACTTCCACGCTCTTCCAAATTCACATGAGGAAGTAAAACGTACTCAGAAGATACTATAGACTGTCTTCGATAGGTCACTGCCTCAATAACCACAGTAGCCTATATTCATGTAAGCTCTTCTCTCGATCCTTCTTTTTCCTTCTGCTCCCTTCCCTTCTCTTTCCTCATGGAAAGTCAAATCAAAATTAAAGATTGCCCTTTGGGGGAAAAAAAAAAAACCTCTGGAAATTTGTATTAGAGCTATCCGACATTTGTCATCATTCTAGTAAAATATTTCACCAATCCACATTGGTGGATGTCAGCTCTGTGTGTCTGTCCAGATTGAAATCTTCAAATCTCAACTCCAAGAGCCCCTTTCCTAGGCTCAGATACAGATTTGATATTCGTGGACAAGATGGCCTTGGTGACTCTTCCTTTTTCTGGGCTTCCATGGCAGGAGGCTGTCCTTTCCAATGCACACACTCTTCAGCTATACATTTCGTGAAGTCACTGAGCCACAACATCACTTCTTATGCTTAACTAACTATGTATATCTCCCTTTGGCATCTTTAGGTGTTAATCTTGCTCCCATGATCTTGGAGGCTAAGCTTATTTTTCTTTCCAGTTTTCATCTGACAGCTCCCAGTGGCTGTTAGATGCCCCTTACCTTTGCTTGCTATTTCATAAACAGTGGACATTAGTCACACTCTTAGCACCATCAATTTTTGTCATTTCTCTTAACTTTGTCACTCACACTAAGAATAATTTCACTTTTTTTAGAGCGAGAACTGCTTTCACATTTTAAGTTATGGAATATCATAAATCAATATCTGCAATGACTAGAATTTTACTTAATTATTTATTGAATGAATATGATAACATGATTGATTTGCTTTGAATAAAAGAAGAAAATGGGTCACGTTTACATGATTTTTTTCCTAATAGCATATAAAATTCAGCTAATCTGTAATTTAATCTCTGAGACCTAATCCAAAGTAAAAATGTAGTACTTTTGTTAAAAAATAATGAAGAAGTTGAAGAGCACACACACACACAAAATTGAACCCAGCATTGGAGTCTTCTGAGCATGGGTCTGATAGAACTGCATAAATTGCATTTTGAGAAGGCTGACCCAGTGTGTTTGGAATAGGTGACGTCTAAGAAAATTAAAGAAACAAGTAAATAGTTTTTTAAAGTAGCCTTGAGATATAATTTTATAATGCAATTTTAAGTATGAAACAGCATATAAAATAAAGTTAAATAAATATATTTATTTGGCTCATTATAGCAGTACATTTGGGGCAGAGTGTTCTGGTGAGTAATAATGTGTAGTTAAAAAGAAGCTACTTCAAATTTCAAATTTATCATTGACTGTTGTGCTTTGGTTCAGTCTGAGGACTGGAAGCCAGATTATTCAGGTTCTAAAACCTGGCACCATCTGCTCTAGTAGGTGTGTCACTGAGCACATGGGCTTACTTTCCTGTGCATAGATGTGTAGGGATGATACATCCTCTGTCATGTAGGTTTTTCAGGCAAATTACTATATTTAAAGTTCTTTAAACAGTACCTGCTATGTGCTAAGCAAAAGTTTTTAGAGTTATTTTTACATTTCAGTTTTTGCCTAAGTATTTTCAGTATCCTGGACATAGTTTACTCTTTGATATTTGTAAATTCAAGTATAATGAGAAAAATATTTCCTATGATTGTTTCTATGGAATTACATATTTGATAGGAGGTGAGACATTTGGCTCATTATAATAGGAAAAAGTTGTATAGAGTACATAAGTATGTACATACATACATATATTATATTAGACTATTGAAAGGCTTTTTATTTTTACTTTTTTTGATATTTTTCTTCATTGCAAATTTTTATTCATTTTAAATAAAAGATTTAATTACCTGGTTAATAAAGCACTTGCATTAATCATCTTACAGTTAATAAATTACATAATTTTAGAATCCAGTTCATGTCAATGTTATCATTTCAGACAATCTTAAATAGAGTCAAAGGCAAGCCTGTTTTGAAGTAATCCCCTGTGATTTGTGGAAGTTATTTCTTTTATTGTTATGTTGCTGAAAAATAGAGGATTTTTATATTAATATGGAATATATTATAATGATTAAAATTTGCTTTGTGCTGTATGGAAAACATAATGTTTTACAGAGTATAAATCCTATCATCATGAAATGGCATCTAAAATGTTTAAACATTATATTTAGAACTATATCAAACAATATCATATATTGCCAGTACTGGTGATAAATTTATTTCACTATTTTACTTCTGATAGTTTATACTGAAAAATATACTCTTAAAAATAAAGTTGTAATCAGATATAATTTCCACATCAGAATGTGATAATACTTGTAGGTGTATCTTTTTGTTGGCTGTAAAAGTTGCACTAAAGTAAAAAAGCAATATTCTTTAATGTATTTAATGTGTTACCCAGGTTTCTAACCATATTATACACTAAACTCCATTTCTCTCATGGCTCTCAGTACATAAAATTTATATATGATCTCTTCTTCTCATATTAGACAGCATTACTGAAGTCTTCACTAACATCTACGTGACCAGTTTTGGCCCTGTCTCAGATACAGATATGGTGAGTTGTTTCTTACAGAATCTTTACTCATATAATGGGAATTGGGGGGGGGTAATTTAAAATAAAAGGTATTGTTATTGTTACAGAACTATGTATTTATCTCATGTTCTATGTACCCCAAGCAAACATATAGAGAATTAAGGATGCTAATCTGTTTGTTCCCTGGATCACAATACCAGTTTGAGCTTCAGATTAGCCTTTTATTCTCTATATTCTTTTCAAAATGTGTATACCTAGCAGAAGTGTGGCAAAGAACTACGATTTCAGTAATGGTATTCATATTATTGAGAATGATTGTCGAGTATTAAGGCACTTGCTTGGACTTCCATAACTTTATATGGTTTCATAGACAAGTGCTTCTCACAGAATGTGGTCACGGTTATTGTTATGCCCAACAGAGTTCTGACTGGCACTGAGCAAGGTGAGTGCCTTGTCGTGCAGTATGTATCTATAGTAGCCATGTGTAAATCAGTCTAAGGAAAACTAGAATGATGATATTTGGGGATCAGTACAATTGGTGTTTGACTAGTTTTCTTTAACAAGAGATGGATAGAAGAAGGGACTGTATTTTCTGTATTTATGAAACTGATAGACTAGGAAGAAAAATTCTTGGTTATTCATGAAAACTTTAAAAATCTGTCCTCCATTTATTGGCTTACTTGTTATGCTCAGTAATAGAAATTTTTGTTAAAATTGTGTTCTATTTGTCAGTATCTTGTCAGAGTCAGTCAAAGCCTCCACATGACACTTGGCTGCATTGGCTTCCCATTATATACATATCTCTTGTCCCTGGCTACCTCTGCCTCCCTGGCCACGCTGTGGCTCATAAACTCATTCACCACTCTGGCCTCTCCATTGCACGGCTTGCTGTCTCTGTGGACATCGTCTAACATGGCAGCTGTCCCCAGTGTCTTATCTTTCTCTGGCAACCCCAGGGACAGGTTGATAGGTTTAGAGATTTTCCTCATTGATAAATAAATAAAACAAACATTTTTCCTGTGTTGCAAGCACTCATACATATTATTTGTTGATTTTCCAAGACCTCCCTTTCCATTCGGAAGCAGAAAGACTGCTTTTTAGTAAAAAACCTGCTTTTTTTCCATCGGAAGCACTCTGACCTCACAGTTCTTTTATGCTATTGACGTGGATGGCTGAAAACATGAGGCAGTATGGGGTGAGGAAGTCGTCTTTGCGCTACATGTGCAAACCACAGGCAGATTTTACAGACCCAGTAATGAGTGGGCGGAAAAACCAAGTTGCTGAAGGACTGTGCAGTGTGACAACTATGTACATTCTGTACCTGCTCAAAACAAAACAACGAAAACTGGATGGAAAAGTCCAGAAATGGGAATGAGGGAAGAGTAGTGGATGCAAGGGGAATGTGTGCTTCCAAATTACCTTGTTATTTTATTCAAAAGAAAAAAAAAAAAAAAACTGAAACCAACATGACAGAATAATGTTTGTTTAATCTCAGTGATAAAAACTGATGATATCATTTTCTGTATTTTTCTGTATCTTTGAAACATTTCCTAATAAAGATGCATTTAAAAAGAAATTATTCTCATCTCTAAAGATGTGGTTGATACAAAGCACGGTCAGGTCTTTACAGCTTTTTTCAAATTTAGAATGCGAACATTTCAATCCCCTCCATACCCCATCCTGGGTGTTAGACACAATTCAGGAACAAAGCTAAAAATAGCCCTGTTTTTAAAAAACCCTTTCTTTCTCACTTGCTGTAGCTTACATTTTGATCTAATATTTTGTTTTTCTTTTTAGAGGGGTGGGGGGACTCCCACATGCTAGGCAATTACTCTACCCTTGAGTTATGCTACCATTCCTTAGTCTAAACTATTAATCTGCTTTTCTTCCCATAAATCAACGTAAGTTGACAGGACTTTGAAACAATGAAAAAGACGCATTTAGCAATTTTGTGTAACCCATATGTTATTTGTAGGCTGCAAAACTAATCTTTTCTTAGTAAATTATCTTTGTCTTTGTGCAAATTATCTTAGTAGATGCTCCCAAAGAGTGGAAAGGTACAGTGATCACAGCTCCCAAACTTCTGGGTAGAATCATGTGGGCAGTCAAGCACTACATTAAAAAATTAACAGAATATTAGATAAATAATGGTGCTTATATGGTCTCTTTTGGTGCCTTGTTACCAGCCAAACCAGAATGATAAAATACACATGTTCCAAAAATATCAATAAGTTTGCAATGGCGAAGTTTTTTGTGTGTGGCTATATTATAGATTTTAGTAGTAATAATTACTATATTGAAATTTTTGCAGTTTTTGACACATTGAATAATTTTTTCTGAAAGTATCAAACAATTTAAAAAGATATGCTTTGTTTGTGAGGATTATAGAAAAAATCACGTTATACTTTTTGACAAAATGCATTATGACGTTTTACCCCAACAAGAATGATGTACTTGACTAATTCTGTACCTGTCTTTGTTGTGACTGGTATTTGGAAAGGGTAGATTTTTAGAGGCAATGTGGTGATCATTTGTGTACGTAAAGTGACACCAAAAATATTTAGAAAGAGGACCAGGAAATCATTCAATCAGTTGAATGTTCTATTTGATATTTTCCAGGACTAGAGAAGAAAGGGGACCTGGTAAATACTAACGTTGGGTTACCCATATACACATATGACACACGCAAATACGTATACATAATTACATAACTCATTACAGCCGACCAAGGAAAAGGAAGCTCAATTAAAAAATAAACATTTTATGAGTAGAAATGAGTTGTCCTTCATAACTACCAACATACATACTTTTAATCTGGATATTAGTTTTGTCAGGAATCAAGATAAATAATGAGGAAAATTTTTTTCTTGTTTAGTACATGCTGTGACTCTCTACATACAGATATGATGATCACGGGAAAAGAAAGCACATCCGTATCGTTACATGCAAAGGAAGGGAGATAGGGAGACACCTAATTAATGTATTGCAGAAGCAGTTTATTACTGAGAAAAAGAAATGATACATTCAATCATGCTTTGAATCACATAGTTCATGCACTTTTACTTCTGTGCAGTGTGCATGCTCAAGAGCAAATGCTAAACTTCTGAGCTCCCCTGTTCAGGTCAGTGATGTGGATTTACTGTGACATTAGCCTGAGAGAAAAAAGCAGCATAGCAAAAAGAATTAAGAGCCAAAAGAACAAATACTTCCCTACATTCGTGCGCGCACACGCACATACACACACACACACACACACACACAGACACAGATACACAAGACATACAGGCACAACCCCTCCCCCAACACACATCAGCACATATACCCATCTCAGAATCATTAACCCTAGCAATTGTCCAAAGAAAGTTACAGTTCTAAATTATAGTTAAAGATTCTAATTACAGTGTCTGCAATTAAGTTACAAAAATTTTAATTTCAACATTTAAAAAGATCACAAGCAAGAAGGTAATTAAACTTTGGAATGCAGTAGGAGCTGACAAATGACAAAGTTTGTAGTAACCGTGTGCATTATAGCAGTTTTGAACTCATGCATCTATTTGGGTTTTTTCTTTTTCTCCTTTGTTTCTGTGTAATATGCCATTTCCTGTATGTGTAGGAAAACTGTGCACCCACATTCTTCAGATATAAGTGGTAGAGCTACTAAATTACTGCACTTCAGCCCAAATGGTTGCTTCTGATCATTGTTAGGATTTGAACTTGAACAATGGAAACTTTGAAGTCAAACTGGGCTGCCTGTCCCAGGTTGAGCTTAGTCTATTAAGAAACTGGCAACCATATATGTGTGACCTTGGTCTGTTGGTTATATTGGTATCCTTTGTTCACATTTTTTTCCTCTATGAAATTATAGAGAGTATTATCTCTTAAAATCCTTAGAAACCATTAGGTATTGTTAGTCCAGTAGTGCACTTCATCATGAAGGTTAAGGAGTTTTTAGATCTTAATATCTGGTTGGAAATTTACACGGGACTTATCTGTTACCCTTTATCAGAGACTGTCATTTGCAAATGTAGCTAGCTAAGGAAACGTACTACAAAAATGTCAAACACTGTATCACAAGTAAAGTAATAATATTTACCCACTTTAGAGCTAGCATGTAGAAGTTGGCTCATGAATGGCTATTGATATTTAGGAATGTTATGACTGAAAATCAAATAACATCCATTCATTCAGTAAATATTTTTCAGCCCCTGATTACAATCTGTAAATTGTTCTTTAAAATGTGGTGCATACATATCCACATTGGATTCACTTGGATATATATTAAACTAGTTGAGCCCCTTCCAAGATCTATGGACTCACCCTTAAAATTGGGGGCATGACAGTCTTCATTTTAACAGTTTAAGTGTTTCACTTCATTCTAAATATGGCAAGAAATTATATAAAATTGATGAAGGGCTATGGTTATATGTAGAGTTAGATTTTCTGCAGTCCAATAATGTCCAGTAGAAGATGAGAAAATACCAAAAATTTGCCAGAAAACTCATACTTCAGACTAGAGACAATTGTGGACTGTGTGTGAGTAGAGTTACTGAAGACTGAAAGATCAGAAAAGATTTACAATATTTCCACATGGAGGAATTGTCCAGATTTAGTTATCTGGTCACTGTGGATGTTGAAAAAGAAATACAGAAGGAAGGCTTTCAAGGACTGGGTGAAAAGTGCTACCATTCATGGGCATATGGAAGACAGGAGTGAAAGTTTGCTTTCATCTTGTTGCTTGGCTGATGACTATTTGTACTTTTAGCCATAGTGAGCTAATGTGTATTTAATTGGAGATATCAAGGTAACAAGTATATATCTATAGCTCAGAGGAGGTTGGGAGTGGACATGGTTGGAAGCTCTTTGATGATAGTTGAAACCACAAGTGTATATAAAATTGTACAAGGAAAGAAATTGGAGTGAAAGTCTACTCATACTTTCTTAGGAACTCTAGAACATTAATACTTAAACAACAGCAAGAAAATTAAAAATAAGTCAGTGGAGACTGATGAGGAGCAATCGTG